ATGAAAGGGCTAATCTATTAGGCGAACTATACTAGGTGTGTTGGGTTGTCAGGCCTTTTCACCAATAACAGTCAGTCGGAGCTCACAGATTGTTCGGAACGGAACCTTAAATCTCTCGGAAAGAAATCATTCGTTTATAATACAAAATATCACTTTGTCTCCGTTTCTCAACCTTGAATTCGAATTGTAAAAACGTAACAATAAATATATATGAGATGATTTCATTTATCGGGTCAAGGTATTGACGGATGAAACCTTGAAGAGCGATTTCCTCGTGTTTTGGAAACTTTTGCATATATTGCTGGTTGGCAAAGCGCGCGATTGGTGCTCGGAATTTTGTGCGCCATATGCGTGATTCCAGCTGCAAATGGACTGCGAGGCCACATGAAAATTTCATATGTCCTCAGGCTGTATACCGACTTTTAATGGATGAAATTCCTACCCGGAATAAGGATGGGCTTAAAGATGTCACTGATGTCGTGCAACAAACTAACACCAAATAAGCGACTCATCAAATGTTTGATTTTTGGAGCAACAGGAAACAGCGGAGAAGAAGCGAATCCAGTTGTCCAAGGAGACGATACAAAGCCGATATTGAGACGTGTTCAAAATGCCGCCGACTGCACGGCTGAAACGTCCCAATGTTCACGGGGATGTGGCTCAGTGCAACTGAACCACTCCATTCAAATGGCAACTAATTTCTAACCAATTGGAACAGGGGGCCGGGGGCCCGCCCCGGCGGCCGCGCCGGGGGCCAGGGGCGATACGCCAAGGCGGCAAAGCCGCCACCGCGCGCAGGGATGTGGCTCAGTGCAACTGAACCACTCCATTCAAATGGCAACTAATTTCTAACCAATTTGTACACTTATGACGAACAAATAAAGTCTATAGGTATAAAAGTACATTGAAATTTGTAAATTTTTGGGTCCCAAAAATATTTGCTTATATTTTAAATTTTATTTTATTTGCAAATTATGTAAAAATAGAATATTCGGTATTAGAAGGATTAGAAAACTCCACTCATGAAAATATTATAAATGGAGCATATATCCAGTGGTGAAGCAGCTACCTCAGTTTAGTCAAGAGAAATAAGTATCAAATAAGAATATTAGGTGGAGGAGAAATACGTCTGAACAGGCCAGAAAATTTTCGAGCAATGTCGAAGAGCCGTGGACGTCGACCCTTAAATATGTTCGGCAGTCGACGTCCTCTGCTAGAATTTCTGTCGACGCCAGTGCTGACCACTTTTAATCAGAAAAAATTTTAGATTTTAAAAAAAGCTGAAAACTTTCAGAAAAAATACAAAAAAATAACGTTTTTTATGGTTCTATGTGGACGCGACTCTACTCAGCCAGTATATAAATTTGTAAACTTATGATTTATGTAGAATTTTAAAAATATTTTACATTTTACATTTTTTTGCTACATTTTTTATCGTAATCTTCATCTGTCGATTACACATCTGAAATGTAGTTTATACATACACAATGAAGATTCTACATTTTTTCCGCAAAGGTCGCGCACTGCACAGGGCAGAGAGTGTGCAAGCGGGAAAGAAAATGAGTAGCGTCAGCAGCGCTGGAGGAGGTGGGGAAGCAACTGAAAATTAAATTCCTTATTCTAGCTTTAATAATGATCCGATCTAATTCAGATTCGGCAATATGGTAGATATGGTTATTCTCTACGATACTACGACTTTAGTTTTCTTGTATCTTCAAAATTGTGGCTGCCACAGATTTGCGTTCTTTGTGGTGGCGAAATTTAGAACCACACTTGTAGCAGTGTTGTATCACATAAGTCTGGAAATCAAATTTGGTTGCTCTAGCTCTTATAGTCTCTGAGATCCAGGCGCTCATCGAGACGGACAGACGGACATAGCTATATCGACTCGGCTATTGATGCTGATCAAGAATATATATACTTTATGGGGTCGGAAACGTTTCCTTCTTTGCGTTACATACATCCACTTTTACCACAAATACAAAATACATATGTACCCCTCTTAACTCTTTTTGAGTACGGGTATATAAAATCAGAAATACAAAATTTGAAAACATTTTCAGCTCGGCTCCTATGAGCACTGCTTGTGTGCGAAGCAACAGAAATAGTTTTCGAGTCAGTTACGAATATAAGTGCGAGCGAGCAGCAACAGCATGTGTGTGTGTCCTGCTGCCCAGAAACAGCCATTTTACTTTGTCTGTGTGTGTGTGTGCTGGGCTGGTGGCGACAGAGCAGAGACTACACCAGAGCAGAGGCCGGCAGCGTCGTATGCACTGTGCATAGGAAACAATTTCGGGCAGCGCAGTCGGCACACGTACAGCGTAAAGATTTTGTGTGGTTTCGTTATTCTGCCTGATGACGTAGCGGCAGAGAAAATTCTGCTCTGCTGACGTCGCGGCAGAGAAACATGCTTCGGGCTATGCAAAAACGGCTTCATATTCTGCTCGCTTGCCTCGGCGGCAGAGAAGCATTCGTGTGCTCTATGCCCAATTCCTCGGCTTTTGCAGCGGCAGAGAAATAAGTAACGTATTTGACTTCGTGTCTGTTGTTTTCGCACACAAACGCACCAAAAAAATGTGTGAGTCTGTGTGCCGACCCCTGATGTAGAATCTAAATGGTACATGTACAATCTACATGTTAGATGTAGAATATACTTTGTATATGTAGATGTAGATATCAGATTTAGCAAAAAAATGTAACATGTAAAATATATTTTTTTTTCTAAAACTCTAAAAAATCATAAGCTTAAAAATGTATATACTGACTGAGTACGGGTATGAGTAAAGTCGCGTCCCCAGAAGCGACTCACACGTTCCTTCTCGTTTTGTTTGAAATCAATTCAATTTTATTTTTATTAAAGTGATAATTAGTTACTATTTAGGTTATATGATATTATTGTACTTAAGATTTATTTAAAAGTAATGCTAAGCTATGTAAAGTAAAATTATATAAAATATATGGATAATTAATGATATTCCGAGTTGGGTTTTTTTGTAATTCGCTCCGCGATCCCCACCAAGGCGGCCATCAATAGCACGTTCGGACGGCTTGGATAGGTGGAAGCCAGCATCACGTTGTACACCAATTCACCAAACGAGCTTCCACAGATCTCCAGATTGTTAGACTTCAGGTGAATAGGATGCAACGGCACCTCAGGCGTCCGATTGAAGTGTCGTTGAAGCATGCGTTGGATTTCGGTCAGCTCCCTCTGGATGCGTCCTTGAGGCTCCCCTGGGCCGGCGTAGTCCTCATTTATTGGTGGAAATACATGATTCTCCCAAGCATGGGGTTGAAACGTGTAATTATACGTCTGGTCCAGCACGGTATCGACGACGTAATGCTCCACCAGGTTCTTCCGCAAGTGGGTCACGTCCCACAGCACTGGGTATGCATGCGAGGCCTGCATGTAGGCCAAGAGGTTGGCAGGGCACCTGTTCGAGATCACTGCCAGTAATCTGGTCGAGAATCCCCGTTCCTCGATCTTCGATAGCACCGTTTGAACGCCCTCGTAGATGACCTGGCTTCCCAACACGTCCGTATCCACCGAAACCGTCTTCAAGTATAGGAAATGGAAGTTTCCTCCTTTTAAGTTGAAGGCGGCAACGACCAGCACCTTCCAACGGTACAGGATGAATCGGGGGGTGGGCAGCTGCGGGATATGAATCTCGTCATATATAACGACGAATTCTTCGTCGTTGTCGAAATGGTCAAAGTTGCTGGATAGGTCCACAACTCCATGTTCCAAATGCGGCGATCGCAAGACCTGGTATTCGGCTTCCAGAATTGCTTCAGGGTTCACGTTGGGACGGTGCGGTCCGAAAATTCCTATAGCGTCCATAGTGGGTTTGTATCAACACTGATCAGTCTTCATTTGATGTCCAGTTTATATACTTTTTCGGCGTTCAGGAAATTGCACAAAATTACACAACTACCTACTACAGGACACGGGACTGGACTTTCCAAAGTAACCCTTTCACTACCTGCCCATGGGTAGGATGCCGGTATTTCCCTAGGAAAGGACACAAGGGTGGACAACCTTTTGAGTCGGATTTTTAAAGAGCCGCCACTCAAATTTGATGTCATGCATTAGGTATCTAAGAATCTATTAGGTGTATTGCATGTGGTTCAATCACAAAAGAAATTCTTTTCTTTACATTTGTTTACGTCGACTTACATGCATACACATGTATACGCGCTTTTTTTTTTGCCTTCTTTGTCTATCCTATCCTTCTCATTCCTCTTTTGTAAGCGAGCGCGGCAAACAAAAATAAACAATTGTTGATTTGATTTAGCACTTTCAATGCATCGATGCATCGATGTTTTTAAATTTTTTGGAAACATCGATGTTTTTGAAAGGTAAGTAAGTTTCAGCGATGTTTATTTTGAAAATATCGAAAAACATCGATGTCCACGATGTTTCTCCACCTCTAATTGAAATGCTCGGCATTTAACTTTTAACTCTTTAAAACACTGCTTTATTCCACTTCTTGCCAGTGTTGCCAAGTCCCAAGAACAGCTGTGTAAAATTTCGCTAATTCAGCCGGACAATCGTGAAGAAAAATAAATAAACAAGCAAATGTAATACAAAATCATGAATTTAGCTCAATAATCAGGTCTTACGAATAAATATTAAAATTTTACAAGAATTTTGTTAGCCGATTATATTTACGAGGTCGCGATAGTATGCTATGCTTATGCATCGTAGGCTTGAATACTTTGACTTCAATTTTGTTTATATGAAGAAGAACTTTGATCTGAAGCTGCATTTTTGTCCATTTGTTGGCCACTTTCTATAGACAATACTCAAAGTGAAAAAAAACCAAGATACTGAGGAAATTGTATAATATTTTCAGTTCACCGATATTCATAGCAACCAACCAGCGGAAAATTCGGCTCAAACTCAACGACTTATTACACGCCATCGATGAGAGTTGTTAATATCGATATCCCGTTGCGGACCACCTCTGACCGTACCGATATCTTGGGCTGGCAACTCTGCGCTCTCTCCCGGCCGTATTCCTCTCTGTTATCATACTCTCTCTCCATCATTTGTCATAGAATTGAAATTTGCTTAAAATCCAATTAGCGTTAATTAAAAACGCACAACGCGGAGAAGGTAGCATGGACGCGGAGCACCTGAAACGGCTAGAGGGCAGGGAAGCTGACCACATCCCAGGCATACTAAATGAATTCAATAAAAAGGTAGAAAACTCACACTATGGTGGCCCAAGCTCATCCGTTCCATCCATTCAATGGTCAAACAAACTACTTTGCAGCACGCGGATCTTCTGGTCTTTGACAGCTTCCACTCGGACAATCAATGGCACGAGCTTTGGCTGGCCATCTTCGGCATCTTGGACGACGCGCAGCTAGGCCACCTGCACACCCAGTGCCTCAATACGGTGAGAATTTTGACCCGCGACGAGTTCAGTCTGCAAACCAATTACATCGAACATGAGGTCAGCCAACTGCTTAGGCTGGCCCGCGTCGAGGCCAGCGCCCTCAAGCTGCCAGCCACCCCCGACGAGCTCAAGCAGCAAGAGGAAGGTCAGCTGCAGGAGCAGCCCAGCTTGGTCCAGTCGGACATTATAGCCGAAGCCCTAAAATGCTTGTGCAATTTGGTCTACCAGAGTGCGGACTGCCGTAAGCAGTGCCTGCGCCAACACTGCCTGGACGCCATCATAAAGCGGGTGGCTTCCTCGATGCGTCATCCCTGTGCCCTCGAGTACTACGACATGAAGCTACTGTTTCTGCTCACAGCTCTGGAGCCAGCGGCACGCACCCGTCTCCAAATCGATCTCAACGGCCTCACCTACATGACCAAGTGGCTAGATGACAAGCTGGCCGAGCCCAGCTGTAGCGAGGAGCAGCTCAACATCATCTGCGAGCTGCTCAAAGTGATGTTCAATGTGACCAGTGCCCCGGATAAGAGTCCCAACGAGTACGAGATCCAGAGCTTGCATCTGACTGGAGTGCTGAGGGAGCTTCTGCTACGTTTTGGAAAAATGGCGACCGACAAGGAGCGCTCGGTGGTCACGCATGCCATCAATCTACTAACCAACATCTCCAGCAGCTGTCTCATCGAACTAACCCTCAAGTGCGGCAATGCCGAGGAGCAGCCCAAGGCGGTGGAGGGGGAGGGTGCCGCAAAGGCGCCCAAATGCTGTGCTCTTTGCTTCGAGAAGCGCAATGTACGCTGTTTGACCGTGCTCCTTAACTATCTGCGACAAGCCTTGGCCCAGCAAGAGGCCGAAGCCAGTTCCCATGAGCTGCTCTCGCCGGTGCTAACCGTTCTAGTCAAGTGCTCCCGCAGCGATCGCGTGATGCGCCACTATCTGAGGCAGGAGATCTTACCGCCACTGCGCGATGTTAGCCAGCGTCCGGAGATTGGCCAGGAGCTGCGCAATCACCTGTGCCGCTTCCTTACGCTGCCCGCTATGATTTTGCGTGACCTCGCCGCTGAGCTGCTCTTTGTCCTCTGCAAAGAGGACGTTGGTCGGATGATCAAGTACACGGGATATGGCAATGCGGCCGGCCTGTTTGCCAAGCGTGGCATCCTCGATTGTCGCCGCGTGGAGGGCGCCGACTACTCTTCGGACAGCGAGGACAGCGACACCGAGGAGTACAAGAAGCAGCAGCAGGGTATTAATCCTGTTCTCGGCTGCGTAGAGCCCAGAGCCAGGCATAACCCGCTGGACGACATGACCGACGAGCAGAAGGAGAACGAAGCGCTCCAGCTGGTCAATCTCATCGAGCAGCTGCGCCAGGGGGGCATCGTCAAGCCCGCTCTCATCGACAAGGATGGCAAGCCGCAGCCGCTGGAGCACATCTTGCAGCTGCAGGAGGAACTGCCGCAGCAGCAGTTTGAGCAGAAGCGCAAAACCTAAGCAAAGCAGCAGCCCACAATCGATGATACTACATATATCCCAAAAAATATTCCAATTACAATTACAATTGAGATCGATTTAACTACACCTGACTGCCTGTCGGTTAATAATTACTAATTGCTAATCGATTATATTATCGATGCATGGAATAGCTCCCAAACAGACTTCAAAACTATGAATGATATTTGGAGCTACTTGGGACTGATTCCACAGCACTTCCATCGTTCGCTTGAATCGAAAACAAAATGCATAACAATCGTTGGGGTCTTCCAGCTTGTGTCCGGGGACGGGGCAGATGGGGCCTCGCAGGAAAGTGGCAGATCAGCAAACAAAAAAAAAAACAAAACAAAACAAGAAACCAAAAACTGCAATCTTTTATATACATACATACATACATACAACTGATCCACAAATCGAAATATAGACAAATTTGACTAGTCCTTGTAATAGCTATGTAAGTGCATGTATTTATATAAATTCTAATTATACATTTACGATCTAAGTACATACAGTTCGTCTGAAATAGGCCGATCCGATCCGATCCGCCTAACTGGCCGGGCCGACCTCTTGCGAAGCTGCAGCCTACATTTCGCTTTGAATTTACATACATTGAACACACATGGAGTAGCATTTCGAAGAACTTCTGCTTAATATGCTGCATCAGATCTACTTCGCACCAGCTCTTTTATTATACATGTTTTGTGTACTGTACGTAACTATAACACTAGAAATGAACTAAAATAACTATTAAGTCGCGAGTGAGGTAAACATAAAACAGGAAATCTAGACTCGGTACCGATATCAAATGATTCTATATTTGTTTCGCGTATTGCTCTCTTCATTGTCGTTAAGGCTCTTCCGAAAGTTGTAAAAGAATGATTCCAACCAATATCCAAATCAATTTTCTTGAAAATTTTCTGCTAAAAGTTTTTTGCCACCCTTTGAAATCAACGCTTCCACAAGCATGCTGGGCCCAGGAATGGCAAGAGTTATCCCAATCCCATATAGCCCTGTTTCAATGCAAAATTTCAATATTCTAATTTTTCCACGGCCGGATATGTTTCGGATAAAATGATGAACTGCAGCTAAACCTTTCTGCATTATGTATACATTTTTTAAATATCTTTGAGAAAGGCACTACGAAAAGATTCTAGCAAAGATATCACAATCCAAACTATTTGGCAGTCACAGTCGCGTGTCGTAGACGTAGTCTCTTTGAACTCGCATATAAAACAATCCTATATAGAGCTTTATTGAGTTCAATTTGCTATAGCAATAGAAGGTAACAATAAACACTATACAAACATACGGACAGATGCCATTTGGCATATGTCTTTCTGCTGCTGATGTGGGGGGAGAACCTCTTTATGATCAATCGGTGAAAGTCTTGCACAAGCAACAAGAAAATTTTGTTAAATTATTGTCGTCGATCGAAAAATTTGCATTTATGAATAGAAAATATATAACTCAAAAAAAGAAACTAGTAATAAAACATCTAGTCGTGATTGACATGGACGCGAGCTGCCTCCTGGATGTCGTGTCGCTGTTGCAGGGTCTGGAAGTAAGCTCCAGAAATGTGCTTCCTGCGTCGTGGCTCCTTGAGTGTCTGGTGGGTCGAAATCAGGGCTGAAGTCGTATCCAAATACATGGGTTTCAGGTCTGTGTGCTGTTTGCCAGGTGTAGTTCTAGTGTTGTCTCTATCGTAGGACGATTTGCGAACTCCGGTAGGGAATGTGGATTCGTAACCATGTTTTTCCATTTCGTGGGTACGGAGCTCTTGGGTTAGCCGGTTCGTCTCCACCATCAAATCCGGCTGCTGATATTTTCTTTCCGATGGATCGAAGACATTGTACACTTGCTGCTGCTGCTGTTGCTGCTGCTGCTTCTGGAACTTGTAGGACGACGCGGGTTCGTAGAGCTGCGTAATGCTATTTCCGTGGTGCTTTACGTGACGGTTGCATTTATATTTTTTAACCAGTAGTGGCTTCTTCACCAACGGCCTACGTGTTTTTGGGGTAAAATAGGACTCGGAGTCTGTAGAACAAAACGTTGCCGAGCCGTCTGAACCGTTCTTCTTAGATTTGTCGGTGATGAATGTCAATCCGGTTTCCGCAGCATACTTGAGAATCTTCTTCTGCATCTTCTTTCGCTCCGCCTGCAGCTTATCCAGATTCGCCTGCACTCTGGCATCCAGATCGACAGACTGGGCAGCTGTTTCCCGCTGTTTCTGCCGCAGCAATGCCTCGAGTAGAAGGCTCTTCTCACTCCTTGTCCTTGGCTTGTCCGAGCGACTGTTCACCTCCAGCAGCTCTTCCTCACGCTTCCTCACCTTCCGCTGGATCTGATTCTGATTATGATTCTGGCTCTGGTTCTGGTTCTGGTCCTTTATGTGCTGCGATTCCTTCTGGATAATGGGCTCCTGCGTGGTAATGGCCTGAACTATCCTCGGCTCCGTATGGGCCTTCTGCTTTGAACTTCTTTCCTTGGTCGGCCTTTGCATGCCGGACTCGGCCCGAGTCTCTCTTGCATCCTGAGTTTCGCCCATTTTTGTTGGATTTAACTTCTCGAGCCAGTCAGTTGGACTCAGCTCGGGGCCTTGCGGCTTCTGCTTGTCTGTGGTTTGTGCCTGCGATTGGATCTTTTCCTTTAACTTTGAGTGGCCTGCTACCCGCGGCGTCGCTACCGCCACTGGACGTTCGCCCAACTCCCGATATGGGGTCAAATTCGATCGATGGCCCTTATGCAAGGTTCGCTCTCCGTCGCCCTTCTGGGGACAAACCGGCGGTGAGTGCGGATGCCGCTTATTTCCACAGTGCTGAACGCTGTGGTGCTTGTGGTGATGAGAACGCCTTGACAGCTCCTCCAGCGGCTGAACCTGAGTCTGCTCTTGGGAGTGGGACCGCTGCTTGCTCGCATTAGAATGCTTCTGCTGGGGCTCCGTACAAGGTTTACTGTGGCCAATTCGGGGGCTGTTCAGCCCGAGCCCATTCGGCTCCAGTCCGCTTTTCTTTCGCAGAGTGCTCAATGCACTGGGGGAGGGACGTAGTAGGTTTGATGTTAGTTGCATGTAGAGGATGGTGGAGCGGAGTGGAGTGGTGTGGTGAAGTGAGTTGAGTGGGTTCTTTGGGTGTTCTCTATGCTATGATATGGTACTAGTTTGAAAACTTTAAAAATAATTAACGGACAGTTGAACGGACATTTGAACGGACAGTTGAATGGATGGACTTGGAGTGGAAATGCTACGCGGATGATCACATTCAAGATATCTGTGGCGGTATCGTTGCTTCTGTTGCTTGTGTTGCTGCTGTGGCTCTTGTGGTTGGGCTGTAGCCGAATCTTTGCAGGAAGTGGACGTGGAGGCTGCTTTTTTTGGCTTCACATTCGATGCACCCGCTGCTGCTGGCCCTGTGTTAGTGGATGCGGAACGCCTATGCTAGGGACGACGGCACCTGTAAAAAGCGGACGAGCAGCTAGAGAAGCTCCAGCGCCAACAGACTACCACCACTCCACACGGACACCCACACCCACACAGACACACACACATGCCTCGCCTTCGCAAATCCCACAAGTTAATCGATTGGCACTCACCTGGTTCGGCACCCGACGGGAAGTTCGCGTCTAGCAGAGGAAGCCTTGGTCGTCGTGGACGCACCGCGACGAGCGGTGGTCAACTCCTTGGAGATCATATCGTACAGACCGTTACGATAGTCGTTCAGCTCGAAGCGATAGTCGTCCCGCAGCGGCGGTTGCACATTCAATCGCATGTCCATCTCCGCCGAGGGGCATCGGAAGGAGCTCACAAACGGATGCTTGAGGGCCTTATTGGCCGTGATTCGGTCATTCGGATCGAGCATCAGCAGGGAGGTGGTGAACTCAATCTCATTGGTGCTGCAGCCTCCGAACATGGCGTGCAGCGAGTGGTGGTAGTCGCGACGGATCGTTCTGCAGAGCAGCGATGTACCGAATCTGGTTCCAATATTATCGATCTCGCGCTGTGTCACATTCGGCAGGGCAGACAATATTTTCTCCATCTGTTTGCCGAAAGGTTAGTTAGTCTGGACACAATATGGGTGGGCCCCGTGGCTCGTTACCTGATTGATGGTGCTGCTGCCTTGGAAGATCGGCTGTTCGGTTATCATCTCGCCGAGGATACAGCCCAGACTCCACATATCGACGGCCTTGGTGTATCTGCAATTTCGTATGTATTTGTATGATTCGTTTAGTTTTGTATAAATGTATGTACTTGCGACAGCCGACGAGAATCTCGGGGGCACGATACCAGCGCGTGGCCACATAGTCCGACATCATGCCTTCATTCTCAGTTGTCTCGTGGTTGCCGCTGCTGCTGGGCTTTGCCACGAGAGTACGCGCCAATCCAAAGTCCCCCACTTTCAGTCTAAAAAGGGGCGACGAGGGGGGTATCATGTCATCCGTCAGCCATCCGCTGCGAGCTGAGCTGAGCTGAGACTCACCTGCACTTGCTGTCGATCAGTATGTTGCTGGGCTTCAGATCCCTGTGGATAACGTTGCCCGAGTGCACGTACTTCATGGCATTCACCAGCTGGTACATCACGAACTGCCTGTGGATGTCCTTCAGGATGTCCCCCTTCTTAATGACAAAGTGCAGATCGCTTTCCATATGCTCGAATACCAAATAAAAGTCCAAATTGTTGGTAGCCCTGTATATGCCCAAGAGTCGAATGATGTTCGGATGATGGCGAAAGGCCCGTAGGAAGACCACCTCACGATATGTGCGCTGGGCATCGGTCGTGTCGCGAAACGCATCGTAGATCTTCTTCAGAGCGACTGTGTCCCTTTGCCGCTTGTCGATGGCCTTCCAAACAATCCCATAGGCACCCTTGCCCAGCGCCTGCCAGTGGGAAAGGCAAGTGGAGTTAGAGGTATGAGGTGGCACGACTGTGGCATGCACATATGTATGTATGTATTTATGATTGATCTTACCTTTCGCACATCGAAGATTGCCGTTACGTTTTTGTCAAGATCATAGTTGGACTCGGCCTCCGTTTTGGATGCCATTGCCCACACCTAAACGCGCTGCTTATTCGTACTGTGTCCACTCAGCTGTCCGCCTTGGAACGCAACTTGCTCTGTAGTCTGTATCTGGAACTGAATCCGTCTGCGTACGAGTGTTTTCTTTCAGCTGGCAGTGGGCTGCTGGAAAACCCAGACCCACAGAGGTGGGTGGGCTGCTGCTGTGGCAGTGTGGGTGGTTAATTCTCTAGTAGTTGCATTTAGCGCGGGTCTACTGTAGTCTGTCTGCTGCTGCTGCTGCTGCTACTGCCCTCAATTGTTGCTGTGACTTTGAGTAGTTCCCAAGTGGTTTTGGGCTCCAACTCCGGGGAATCTGTCCTAGACCAAAAGAGGCTCGCGTGTTTCTCATGGATGCCTCTCATATGCACACGGCATTCATTTCAAGTACGGCTACATACATTCATGCATATGTATGCCTACACATGTACATACATATGTGAGGCAACAGAACCAAAAACGAAACAAGAAGAAGGAATGGCACGTGTAAGGGTACGGGCACGGGTACGGGTATGGGTACCGAAGCTTTTAACACTCTTGCAGATTGATCCTAAAAGCAAGCTATATTATTGGGTACCGTCTTCGTTTCTGATACAACGTGACTGAGTACATGGGGAATTCTGTAAATATGTAAATATTTCGAATCGTTGCAGGCATCTGGCAAAATCAAAATATCCCCTCTGAAGTGTACTTTTCACAAAGAACAAAGAAAAACCGACAAAAGTGAAGTAAGAGGGTAAATAAAAAACGAATAAATATTCGTGAAACAATTTGATTGAAACTGGATTATTGTTAGATCGATCAGGGGAAAGCGAGCGCCAGAATTGTCCTAGCAATGACTCCAATGGACGGACACTCAAGTGCCCTTGCCCACGTCATATGTATACCCCATATACACACACACGTAGTCGCTCAGATCTGGAGGCAGCTTCACACAGACTCTTCTTTTTGTGCATACTCGGATGTACAAACATTGGATATTGGATTCATAGGAAAGATCGATCTGCAAGGGTATCCATTGCCTCGGCACCTTCGGGTGGCTTGTACTTTCGTGTGGCTGTTGAAATCCAAAGAAATCGGTTCATGATGACAGGCCATCAACTGAAAAAAGCACAGCCACAGGCCAACACGGGCAGAACGAGGAAAATGAATTTGTTTAACCAATAAGGAGGAGGCAGGCAGGCACTCATGCGGCAAAGGGCCACAGGAACAACAAATTCGCTTATGGGGCCCCACAAAAAATCCAGCTCAAATATATTCTCCTTCTAGCAGACAAGGACTTTGGCGAAAATAATGTATAGAAATGTGTCTGATGTGATGTGGGCATGGGGAGGAATCCACAGAAAACGGCAAAAGCCAGCAGCAGCAGCAGAGAAGTGAGCAAAAATGGTGATGAGATCCTATCCTACTTACCTGATATGAAAACTTGCTCGATATTTGTGTGGCTGTGTGATGTTTGATTGCAACAATAATGAACAAAATGAAAACGCACACAGAACCCCGTCTGAGTTGAAACGGTGTGGTGTCCTCGAACTGGTGGATCGGTGATCCTGCACGGGGTTCGCCCAATCTCTGCCTCGTTAGATTTCCTTTCAGACAGCAGGGGCAATCAGCTTGATTGACGTTTCACTCGTGGGCCAAACCCATCATTTACTTTCACGGAGTTGTCTTGGAATATAAAAAATATATGGTTTCTTGATGATTGATGATTGATGATTGATGGTTGACGATGACCGATGACCGACGACCCGATGCATCGGTAACCTGCAGGCTGCAGGTTTTGTCTCGCACGTGGGGCTTCAAATTTACCAAAATAAATGAATTGACTACAGAAAAAATAAATATTTTTGTGTGTTTTTTGTTGTACAATCCCGCTCTGTGTGTGAAGTAGATGAATTCTACTCCAGAAAACTCCACGACTACTGTTTTTAGAAATTTCCAAATGCATACTCGTATCATGCCAACTCATTGTATCCATTCGCACGGCCTCCTGGTTTCAATAATTTTCGGTCCTTTTACTTTCCCTTCGTTTCCATTGGTTGCCCAAACCGCTTCCCCCCCCCTATCCAATGAGTGCAGGTCCCGCAGGAGCCGGCCGGCCGTATCATTTACCCTCCAGTTTCCTCACACATATGCACAATGGAACTGCTTACATTTGTTAGACGGGGCGCTTAATGGACCCTGGAGATGGATGGTTGGTGTATTGTATGACTACATCGCAGAGAATAATTTCAGGAAAATTATCTAATTACGATTAAATTTGAATCCAAGAAAATTCGTTTATTTTGGCAACCGTTTGCTTGAGGAATTTACTCATAGATACATGTACATTTGTACACATGCATGTCGTCCCGATTTAATACAAATTTTAGTTTGTTTTCGTTTAATTGAATATTGTAATTACAGCCCCATACTACATAAAATCGTGGTTCTTACAGTTTTAGATAATGTCATATTATATACATAATGTGTAGGTATGTATGTATGTTTATACATATATAAATATAATTTCATTTCTAGTCAAAAAATAAAAGCGCGTGAATGATATTTTTAAGAGTGCCAACCCATGGTTGTTATGGGACACATGCTTGTTGCCATCAATAAATGCATATTTGAGGCTTAGTTTTCAATAACAAACATGGGCGGGCCCTTGTCCGGACGCATAGCAACCTCTGGGCTATGCTTGTGATCTGCTTCTTCCAGGAAAGGCTCCAGAGAAAAGCCGGCCGTGTGTCGGCAAATGTTTCGAATATGTTGCCCAGGGTGACGGTGACGTGATACAGAACCTTTTTTATGTTGTTATTGTTGTTGTTGATTCACAGGAGAAAATTTTCTTGGATTATCGTACGAAAAAGTGTTGAAGTCTGCTTATTAATGGAGTTTGTGTGTTTGCAGCAAAGGGAATGATGGAGTGTTGGCGCTGGAGCTGGAGCTGGACACAGTTGCCGAATCTAGAATCTACCATGCTGGTGGATGGTAGGGGGCTTTTGACTTTGCTCCGGTTGTGACTGCTGTTGGTGGTGGTGGTGGTGATGCTGCTGCTGATGCTGCTGCTGCGGCTGTTGCTGTTGATGCTGTCGCTGCTGTTGTAGCAGTGGTTGTCGCTGAGGATTTTGTGGTTGTGGTGGCAGCTGCTTCTGTTCTTGCTGCTGCTGCTGCTGCTTTTGTTGCTGTTCTTGGTGTTTATGGTGCTTCTCCTTCTGCTGCTGCTGCTGATGGGCATGACGACGCTGCTGCTTCTCGAACTCGGCCAGATGCTCGTTCTGCTTGCGAACCAGCTCGTCAATTACCTCGTGATTGTAGGTGGAGTGGAGCATGAGGCCAAGGAGATTGGCACGAGAGCTAAGCTGCTGTCGGTAGCCGCGCTCCTGCTCCATCAGGTCGTCCATTTTAAGCCACTGCCGGACGCGCTCCAGATCGATCTCGGCCCGCCGAATCTTCTCCCAGGCATAGTGCTTGAAGCAGCTCTTCTTTGGAGCACGACAGAACTGTCCGGTGGGCTCGAAGACATTGGCGACGAGGGGAGCGCCGCAGACGTCAGTCTCGTTTACTTTCGGATCCTTGCTGTGCTCGGGGCACAGGACGCGCAGTCGCTTGCAGTAGGTCTTGCTGGCCGGATTGTAAAAGTCGCAGAACATGTTGTTGCCCTCCATGCGGGTCTGGAAAATGCTGCCGAAGCTGGCCTGAGATTCGTATTTGTTGAAACACTTCTCCATATGCTTGATGGCGGTGCGAGAGTGGATTTCATGGCCGCAAGTGATGCAATACATGCTCTGCTCATCCTCGACGTCGCCAGTGTCGTTCGCGGTCTGCCTTTCTATGATGCTGTGCTTGGCCTGCTCCACTACCATGTTGAGCTCGTCGGAGCGCTTTTCGAGCTCAGCGAGAGCGAAGCGGACCATCGACTGCTTATCCCGGATGGATTCAAGCTGTGTGCGGTTATCCTCTGCTGCACGACAGGGCGTTAGGTTCCATTCCTGCAAACGCTGCGGCAGCACCTGCCATTGAAATATTGATTAATATTCTGGGTCAAAATAATGATTGGACAGGAGTGATGATGGGTACCTGGAATATGCGGTTGGTCGCTAGATTGAAGCCGCATTTTTCACTGCAGTATTTACTCTGAGGTCGCGCCTGGCAGCAACAGCCGGGGCCATGACACTGCCGCGTTCCTTCCAGCTCGGGGTTGAGAAACACTTCGGGACTGGCCACACGATTGCCGACCTTCATCTTGCGATCCTTGGCCGTGGTCTTTTCCCGTTTCCTTGAGGGACCCGAAGCCTGGGGTTCGGACACGGCGGCCGCCTGGGCGACACATGTGCGGTAGATGCAGCGCGGCTTGTGGCCAACGCGAATACGACAGGCATTGCATTGATTGCAGTTGGGACGGCGACATCCCTCGCAGGTGCCGCAACGTTTTCCCGCCTTGGGCTCTTTGGCATTGCTATGCTTTCGCTTCGGCTGGGCGGCTGCTGGTTGAACGGCAGCTAATGCAGGCGGACCCGATCCGTGAGTGTTGGTGCCACTGGTGGAGGCGGCATTGGAGGCCGCTGCCCGCTCGGTGGCCACCAGGCGGAAAATTGTCTGGAGTTCCGGATTCTCCTGCTTGCATCGACAGCAGAAGTATTGCTTGATGTGTTTTGCCTCCTTCTCTGTGATGCCAATGCAATCGCCATGGTACCATTCCTCACAGCCATCGCAGCCGCTGCAGATGGGAGAGATTGTCAAATTACCAAACCTTCGGCATTCATTCAACATTCGTCACCTACATCATAAACCTGGAGCAGTCGGAGGTGCGACATATGCAGTACGCCTGGTCTTCCTGCTTTAGAATTGTGGCTATCTTGGATTTGCGTTCAGGCAAATCGAATTCGCGGGCAATTTCTCTACGGATTTCTTCCCTCTACAGGAACGAAATGGCTAGATATTAACGGGTTAATCATTAAATTTATTATTCTTACGCTTTTCTTGTATTTCTTTTCCTTTTTTTCTGACATGCCTGCCAAAATGTTTATCTTTGCCATTCCGATTTCCCAATACCCAGGGATGCAAAACCAGCGATGGCCGTGTTAATGGTGGCTTCGGAATTGTGCGATATATTTTTGGAGAGAACAAATTTGAATCTTGAATTAAAGAACAGGATTAATTAATTAAAATGGATGTGGGCAATCCCATTATTTTGTAGTTTTTAAAATTATTTACATAATTGTCAATGCAAATGCCAAGTTAACCTATCGATGGTTTTTCAGCTCTACCAATGACACGAATCTTTATCGATAGCTCGCTTTGACGTGTGACCAGTTGAACATTTATTTTTTGTTTACGTTTACACCGCTGAATTGTCATTGTACTTATAAAAACGTTTGTCACAGCAGCGCGGCTGGCAGAGCGGTTCGGCATTCACAAGCTTTGGATCTGGCAAACTTTCGATCCACATCCCACTGCAATTAGAACCCGATATCGGGCATACAGTAATTCGTTTTAGCCGCTACGCTCACTTGTCATTGTCGGTGAGAGTCTTTTGATCACCTGGTGGTTCTCTCGCTTACACAGACACGCATGCAGGCACACAGGTAAATACGCACACCAAGTCATCAGAATCAACAGCAGCAGCAGCAGCGGCAGCGACAGCGGCCATTTGAACCGAAAATTCTTCTTTGGGCCGCATCGCGTTCTTGTGTGTTGAGCTCTTCTTCTTCGCGAGCGAGGCGAGGCGTTAACTTGCTCTAATCACGGTCCGGTGTCGGCATCTGGCTGGCTTTGTTGCTCTTACATTGGTGGTCGCGTAGCCGCGCGCTTAGACACGTCAACAGAATCGCGGAGGGGCGTCGAGCTAGCCAAACGCTAAGAACTGGTACGAATATGCGTGTCAGCCACATCCGCAGCGGGCGCATCTGCCGAGTGGCCCTGTGCCTGCTGGTCATCCTGCCGCTGCTCTACCTCCTGGCCAACTGGAGCGACCACCACAAGCGCGTCGAAGAGGCCTATCACTCCCGTTTTGGCGGGCCCAAGTTCAGTCACCAGCGTCTTGAGGGTCGGCCCCACGAAGTGCCCAAGCTAGTAGAAGGTAAGCAAACATATGTATGCCCGGTTGGCACCGGTAATTGGCACTGTTTAAACAACTGCTGTCCGATTCTTGTATGATTCTAGCATGATTCTAGTATGCACAATGCACTAACCTAACATTTGTATATGTATTTTCACAGGCCTTGGTAACTTCGAGCCGAAAGATCTGAAGCCACGTAGCGGACCCGGCGAGAATGGGGAGCCCCACAGCCTGTCGCCGGACAAGAAGAACGTTGCTGACGACTCCGAGATGGAGTATGGAATGAACATCGCCTGCTCCAATGACATTTCCATGCATCGGTCGGTGCGCGACACGCGCCTCGAGGAATGCAAGCACTGGGACTACCCGTACGACCTGCCACGCACCAGCGTCATCATCGTCTTCCACAACGAGGGCTTCTCGGTGCTGATGCGAACCGTCCACTCGGTGATTGACCGCTCGCCCAAGCACATGCTCCACGAGATCATCCTCGTGGACGACTACTCGGACAAGGAGGACCTTCGCAGTCACCTGGACGAGTATTCGAAGCAGTTCAATGGCCTGGTAAAAATCATACGCAACAAGGAGCGCGAGGGCCTCATTCGGACGCGATCCCGCGGAGCCATGGAGGCGACAGGTGAGGTGATTGTGTTCCTTGATGCCCACTGCGAGGTGAATCTCAACTGGCTGCCACCGCTGCTGGCGCCCATCTACCGTGACCGCACCGTAATGACGGTGCCCATTATCGACGGCATCGACCACAAGAACTTCGAGTACCGGCCCGTGTACGGGACGGACAACCACTTTCGCGGCATCTTCGAGTGGGGCATGCTGTACAAGGAGAACGAGGTGCCCCGCCGCGAGCAGCGACGTCGAGCCCACAACTCGGAACCGTACCGCAGTCCGACGCATGCCGGCGGGCTGTTCGCCATCAACCGCGAGTACTTCCTGGAGCTGGGCGCCTACGACCCCGGCCTGCTGGTGTGGGGTGGCGAGAACTTCGAGCTGAGCTTCAAAATCTGGCAGTGCGGCGGCAGCATCGAGTGGGTGCCGTGCTCGCGCGTCGGCCACGTCTACCGCGGCTTCATGCCCTACAACTTCGGCAAGCTGGCCAGCAAGAAGAAGGGCCCGCTGATCACCATAAACTACAAGCGCGTGATCGAGACGTGGTTCGACGACACGCACAAAGAGTACTTCTATACGCGCGAGCCGCTGGCCCGCTACCTGGACATGGGCGACATCACCGAGCAGCTGGCCCTGAAGAAGCGCCTCGGCTGCAAGTCGTTCCAGTGGTTCATGGACAACATCGCCTACGACGTCTATGACAAGTTCCCCGGCCTGCCGGCCAACCTCCACTGGGGCGAGCTGCGCTCGGTTGCTTCCGACGGCTGCCTGGACTCCATGGGCCACCAGCCGCCGGCCATAATGGGACTCACATACTGCCACGGCGGCGGCAACAACCAACTGGTGCGCTTAAACGCCGCCGGCCAGCTGGGCGTTGGTGAGCGCTGCGTTGAGGCGGATCGCCAAGGCATTAAGCTGGCCGTCTGCCGCTTGGGCACCGTCGACGGACCCTGGCAGTACAACGACCACACCAAGCATCTCATGCACCGCGTCCACAAGAAATGCATGGCCCTGCACCCCACCACGCAGCAGCTCACGCTGGGCCACTGCGATGTCAACGATAGCTACCAGCAATGGTGGTTCAAGGAAATACGTCCGCGCTGGTAAGAGGACAGACCTACGGAGCAGCGGGAGGAGGAGCAGCAGGCGAAGGCGTGCGGAAATGGAGTAGTACGCAACCGAGCAGCTAATGCAAAATCTCAATAGGGTTTCATCAAGGCCGTGCGCGTGGGAGCCGTCGAGCGGGCAGGGGAGGGGAGGGGACGAGCCAGATTTTAGACAAAAGCAATTTAGTGAAAATGAGAAATGAGAAATGGAATTGTTGTTGGTTTTGTAGCGCATATACATACACACATACATACATACATACATACATACATACAGATATACACAGAAACGCACTGTCAGGGCAGGAGGCACATAACGCTGGCATCCCGTCGGCAGTGGCGCTGGGTCCGACCAAGGCATTAAATGCCATGGGATATAAGGGGGAGAAACACTTTAAGACACCTTTTGAATGATATTACTTGTACAACAAATTCCGAAAACGATATTCAGTATTTGATATCGAAGTGTGAGCGAGATATATGGGGGGGGAGTAGCTCTCAATTAAATGTTGTGTGTTGCCTAGAGATTGTACAAGCTAATCTAACAACATTTGTAGTGCATACATACACATATAACCAACCATGTTTAGAATCCGTCTTAAAAATAATGTTACTCGTGAAGCATTCAATATTCATAGTCACGTTTACTTAGTAGGATTAGGGATAGCCCATCCCATTGCCAAGTATTGTTTAGGATCTTCAAGATCACCTTTGCATGTGTCCGAATGTTAGCAGAGAAATATTCTAAATTTAAAATTTCAACTCGAAACATACGAAATGAAACATGCATCAGATACATGTACAACGAGGAGAATGTGGCAGGAAATATGTATTATATGGGAGTATGTCAATCGAGAAATCTCAATATTTGTATCAAATTCAATCAATTAATCAAGAACCACAATCAGGACCTAGGGCGCCGCTAGGCTGTAGGGATTGCCATGCCCATGTCCTCTCCTCCCATGTCATGTTTTATTAGTGCGCCTGAGTGAGTGACAGTGAGAGTGAGAGAGAGTGCGATAGATGGAGATGAAAGCGAGGGAGACGGCGTTAGAAGGAGGAGAAGTCGTTGTGCAATAGAGAACGATATACATAGAATATGACAACGGGTCGCAGATTGTTTTATTTGCTTTATGATTGCCAACCCTACACACAAATAACACAAAACAAAAAACAAAACAAAACAAAACAAATCGATGTAATTATGCTTAGTCGTATATGCTATGCTATATGCTATATGCTATACTATTCCTGTTATTCTGATTCAACTACTTATACGAGTACTACTTCCCAAGATTCGATGATGCTGATGCTGATGCTGTCACATTCCAGTCCGGGATCCAATCAAGTCACCAGCTACAGCTACGGAATCACCACCAGAGAGAGCTTCCATTCCAACCATCATATAATTCGTTCTTCGTTATTCCCTTTGTACTAAGCAAACGTAATCGCAATCGCAATCGTAATCGAAATTCGAATCCGATCAACTTTTCGACTGGCCAACATCTAACGGTACTGCTTATAGTGTACGATTTTTGAAAACAATTTTTTACATTGAAATGTAACTCTAGAGTTATCGAATAAGTCTGAATAATAGCATAGAAATAAACATGTTTTCTAAACACTTTATCTTGTAAGCCCCACAATGTAGTACATTTATTTTCGCATCTATGTACATATGTACATACAGTATGTATTCAAGCGGTAAAATAAGGAATGAAGGCTGTCACGCAGATGGGGGATTCCCAAGGGATTGGCAACCTCTCGATTTCCGGAGGGGGTATTTTGGTGCCCACAAGTGGAGCTTAATTTAAGCAAATGATTCACAACTGATACTTGAATCAACTCAACAACATCGATTGGCAAACCACCCTGCAGAAGCGTCTCGATTTGCTCAGTTCCAGAGAAAGTCCACAATAGATAAAGTTCTGGGAAACATTTTCGTAGAGTTCGTCGAGACGGCGCAGGTGGCGCAGGAGCGGCCAGGGGGTTGGGGCCATGAGGTTGCATTAAATTTCCATCGCTCATCAAAACAGAACTCTTCTCCGAGTGTTTTTGTTGTTTACTGATGGGTGGCTAATGTGTCTTCCGATGGGTCTGGCCTGTTATCATCCGGCTAAACACGAGCCTATACCCTATATACCACACACACACACACACACGATCGAGGAGGGGAGGGCGGAGTGGAACCCTTGATTAGATCTGAACGCAATAACACCAAAATTGTTCCGTTTAATTGAGTGAAGTGGGCCTGGTTCTGGGTAGGCGTTATCAGTGTTATTGCTGGCTGCCCTTCCACCGGGTCGCCCCATTCGCTGCTCGGCAAGGCAACCTGCGGTAGCCTCTGGCTCTGCGCAGCTGCTGGCAAGGTATCCCGTCGGCGGTTTGGCGGCCACTTCGTTCGTGTCTAATCCCACGTTGTCAGTTGCTCCACTCGAAATTGGCAAATGGGAGATAAGGAGGCTTCGACGCTGCCGCTGCCGCTGCCACAGCCACAGCCGGAGCTGGAGCTGGAGCCGGAGCCGGAAGTGGGGCAGGGTGTGTCACGCCAAAGCGAATCAAATCGAATGCCCCTCCACTTAGTCGGAGGCAACTGGTATAAATAGTAAACACAGCCAGACCTTGGCTATCATTCCGCGACTTCCATTCGCCGCAACCACTGCAGGAGCAACCTTTTCCGATTTTCAAGAGCAATCCGATCCGCCGATCCGTAAACCGTCGTCATGTGCAAGCTGAGTCTCTGTTTGGTGGTGGCCCTCTTCGGCTGCCTTGTGGCCGCCGGTCCCGCCCGCCAGCTGCCCGTGGACAGCAGCACCCTGCGCGAGATCACCGTGGTCAAGGACGTGCGCTCGTTTGCCGCCCAGCACCCGGGGCTCAAGATCCAGCGACTGGCCAAGCAGCCGGCCACAGCCCGCGCTGGCGTCGAGTCCGTGCGCTACACCCTCGGTGCTCGCGTAACCAGTAAGTCACCCACCCATCCCATCCACCCTCCCCACACACGCCCAAAAGCAGGCTGCGGTCGAGACTGAGGCTGATCATTGCATACTTTCAGGCGACAGCTTGGTGGCCCAGGGCGCCGATGTCTTCAACTATCCGAGCTCGCAGGACGTGAGCGTGCAGCTGACGTACCCGGAGGAGGGCGCTGGAGCGGTCGTCACCTACGTGGAGCTGATCTGCACCCAGGACAACAGCGAGGGCAACGCCTACGTGGTGGCCGGCGGCATCGGGCAGCGGTTCATTTCGATCATTCTGGAGGCCAGCCAGACCCGCAACTTCTCGTACCAGGCCCAGTACTATGGCCAGAAGTAGGACCCCCTCCTGCTGTTGCTGCCCCACTGCTGTTCGTACATACCGCAGACCATGTCGCATGACTCCAATAGAGAGACAGAAATATACGTATCCATAAATGTTGAAAGTGAAGCGAGCAACCGTTCATTGAATGCCAGGCGACGGGATCATATATCATCCATTCACAGTCCACCATCCACCATCTACCATCGAGGGGTATTCGCTAATCTAGAGTAATTTGAAATTGTTTTCGTCGCCGCTCACGCGCCTTCCACTTGAAGTAGACGTCGGCCATCGCCGCAAATCTGGGCCAGCCACTCACCTGAAAATGAATCTGAATCTGAATCGGAATCGGAATCTGGATCTGATTCGGGGGGGGGCTCCGACTAGATTGGCCGGCCACTAGACAACCCACATCTTCGTGAATCCACATGTGCATATAAGCGCGAGTCACGAGCTATCCACGAGACTTGCGGCGGGAGTACCCTGGCCAGGCGGTCCGAGCAATGATACTACAGAAAGTATCTACTTCTCCCAGTCGATAGTAGCATGGACAGGGCCAGGGCCAGGGCCAGGGCCGGTGCCGGGGCCGCGTCCGGGGCTGGGGACTCATTTTGCGTAGACGAGCAAGCAATTGACTTTTGTAGATTGGTTTATTTGTTCATTAGATTGTTTGCCATTATGCATATCAAGGTTAAGATTGCCACCAGCCACAAGCCACCAGCCACCAGCCACAAGCCAGCTAATAAGCAAATAAACACCCCTCCACGAAGGCGGGGGGAGAGACAGAATCAATCAGAGCTAGATGGGAGATCTTTCGTATGCAGAACTGCCTATTCAGAGTCAGTCTTCCAGTCTACCAGCCATACTATGTACCTGTCAGAGTTTCCCACCATGGAACCCTGCACTTGTGGTGGAGCATCCAAAACCAAGGGGGGGGGGGGGGCTGAATCACCTGCCAAATTTGTCACAAACGCCTCACGGCTCAAGCAATCGGCAATTTGGCGGCAGCGTGTTCCAATCCAATCGAATCGAATCGAATCGAATCCAATCCCAATCTAAACGATACGATCCGTTGCGATGAGATATGCCGATTAGGCCCTCGAAAGCGGGATGGCCTATTTATAGAAATTGAGCAAGGAACAAGCCAGCGAGTGTGCCAGCAATTATGGTCTATTATGTGCGGGGAGTGGAGGAGCCCCTAGCCCGTAGCCCGTAGCCAATTCCAGGGCTTATCGTACGAATTGTCGAGCCTTATCTGGGTGGCTGACCGCCGATAAGGGCGGGCGTATATAACAAGCGGCCCGAAGCTAAGGCACACCCAAACCACGCAGAGAAACGGAAGGCATTAGAGCACTGCCACTGCCACTACTGGAGCCGCACCACCTACCCTACCGCCCTACCGCCCTACCGTTTCCCCTTCGTTTTTTGTTTTTGTTTCTGTGAACTTTATTCTGTACACCTTTTGGTCTGTGATGTTGCTGCGAGTTGTCCTGCTCCTGTGCCTGGCGACGGCGACGGTGCTGGGACAGCCGCATGCCCGCGCCAGTGATCTCTACTACACGGACATCACGCCGGTCACCGACGACAGCCGCTACACCACCCTCAATCCGCAGGCAGAGCTCAGAGAGCTGGACAAGGTGAAGCACTCCAAGGGCAACATAGTCTTCACCTCCGGTGAACGCATCGCAGGTGAGTCTGCAGCGGGCTGGCGTCGACTGCCGATCCTCGACTAAATCCTCCACTGAATTCCACGCAGGTGACCGCCTGGTGGTGAACCACTACGACGACGAGAGCTTCGCCACCGCGGTGGACATCGAGGTGCTGATGAGCTATCCCGCAGGGTCGAGCACGGGCGTCACCCTCACCTGCATCGAGATCTACGTGGACACGACGGCCAGCGATGCCGGCGGCTTTCTGACCAGAGGCGGCATTGGCGACACCACAGCCGAGATCCTGCTCACCTCCAACCTGACCCGCAGCTTCGTCTACGAGACCTTCCTCTATGGCTACTAGAGAGCGGGCCACCCCACCACCCTGCGGCTCAGAACTCCCCAGACCCTTCTTCAGATCAGTATACAGAGCAACAATAAAAGTTTCGCTTGGAACCCAGCTGTGATCGTCCTGCCGCACACCATTTGCCGTAGTATCATTATCGTTATTATTATTATTATTACTATTACTTTTACTATTAGCTTTAGATCCTTGAATTAAAGACGAAAAACGAAACCAACATTTTGGATACCTGTGAGAAGTGTTTCGCTAATGAAACCCCAGTCCATGGAGGTGGTGGCTGGTGAGGGTTAAGCGGTAAGCGGTAAGCGGTAAGCTTATCGCGCAGAAAGAACTCTGTTTACTGTCCGGGTTTCTCCCTGTAGACGACTGCAGACTGCGTCATCTTCGTTCCAGCTAATTGAAATGCCACAAAGCCTCATGTGATCAAATTCGCGCAGATAAGAGCCAGCGGCGCCCCCAAACAGACCCACTGAATTATGACTCGGGGATCGGAGCTGCAATCAGCCATCAGGGATGGCTCTGGTCTGGTCTCTGGTCTCTGGTCTCTGGTCTGGAACGTACCAGAATACTCTCCGCAGTGGGGTCAGTGTTATTGTTGCTGTAAAAACTACCCCACAGCACTACAAAGAAGTATCGGGGGGTATCGGGTATAAATATTCTGATGAATAATGGACTACACGCACACAATCTTCAATGCAGCTAATCTTATCACTCAGCTCATTCGTCTTTAGAGTCTAAACTAAGAACATCCAAAATATCATTATACCCTTGTGTGGGTAGAGACTTTTGAGACCCCGGGGAACGGACACATCCCCGCAAGTCCATGGAACTCGTAGAGCCGTAAAGTCGCTTGTGCGCAGCGTCTGAAGCTGCTGATAAGCCGTGACTTGGGCCAGAGAAACGTACAGCATATATTCATGAGTCGCGAATTTATATAGATTAGTTCTAGGCCGGGCACGACACTCCACGGACATGACACGGATGGGACTTGGACTTTTGCTGACGGCCGTCATGGCGCTCTCCGCTGCAGCCCATCCCAAGCTGGAGAGATCGCTGTCAGGTATGTGAAGCCCCGTGCCACGTGCCACGTGCCACGTGCCACGTGCCACGTCCCCTGTGCCAGCAGACTGACTAATCCCTGCACCAATCGTTGCCCATCCAATTAGAGGGGCAGGACTGCCCCAGTCGCGCCGGATATCCCGCGAGCCGCTGCCAGACCATCAAGAACTGTCCCAATGTCGTGCAGTATATTGTTTCCACCAACATGACGCTGAACGATGTGGTGCAGTGCGGATTAACTGTCTTCGTGGAGCTCATCTGCTGCCCCAAGGAACCCCCGGAGCCCAGCCTCCAAGCAGTGTCCTCGACGACGCAATCGTGGGTTCAAGATCTTCAAGATCCAACGGCCGCCAACTATAGTCTGTTTCCTCCACAGGAGGTTGCCCGCTGGTGGTCAGAGAGTACCCCAGCCCGAGCGCGTGCGTGAGCCCTATGGCCATGTGACCGCCCTGCAGTACTTGGCCCCACAGACATTGGACTCGTACATCTTCCGCTGCACGGGCTTCCTTCTCAAGGAGAACTTTGTCCTCACCTCAGCCGCATGCGCTGGCTCCTTAATGGAGGAGCCCAACCACGTGCGGCTGGGCCCAGAAGAGCCCTTCGGGGACAGCAGGGAGATCAATGTGAGTCCGCACTGCACTTAGCTGTTAATGCATCCCGCCCATCCTGTGCCATTCGCAGAACATCACGTACCACGGCAACGACCTCGTGCTGCTCCGCACGAGCCAAGGCTACGGCAGGGAATTCATTGCCGAGATCTGCAGGCAGGAGGACCTCGACAACCGACGCAAGCTGGTCGCCGTGGGTTTCTCCCAGAAGAACGGTGAGTCCTCTCCTATTGCCTAATAGTCCAAGTTCCCCCTAAGACTCCCTTTCACTCTGTCGATTCTCCAGGGGAGAACTGCCAGTGGTTCGAGCAGGAAGTGAACATCGCCCCGTTCGCCCGCTGCGATCGTGTGAGCATCAACCGTCTCGTCACCGGCATCGACCCCGTGAATCACTTCTGCGTGGCTCCCGCCGGGGCCAGTCCTCCTCCTCCGCCCGGAAGCTGCGTGCCGTGCCTGCGCGGCAGTGCCAGCGGACTTCACGTGATCCGTGGCGATGGCACCGTCTGCCTGGCTGGCGTCGCCACGCCCACCAGCAAGGCCTGCGCTGCCGGCACGAAACATCTGTACTATACCAGCCTGCTCGGCCCGAGAAACAGCAGATTCCTCAACGACATGCTGCAGGTGCCAGCGGCAGCAGGATTTAGACAGCAACGATCCCCTACATATTGATGGAATAAATATTGTTTGGAGCATCACAATCGGTCGTTGCGTTCCCTCTTTGCGGCTAGTGCTGGGTTACATATGTACATAAATATATACATATGTACATATATGTATGGTATGACTTACGTTACGATATCCCAGAGGATGATTGTGGATGGATGCTCGCTCTGCTGTCGTGCTGCTGCCAGAGGGGTTTCTCCCATTCACCGCAAATCTCAGCCAGCGTACCGATAAGCAGAATCAATCATGCTCCGGCAGCTCTCTTCTCTTCTCTCCATCTCCATCTCCATCTCCTCATCGCGAAAAGCTTTGCTCTCTGTCTCTCTCTGTCTGGGTGTTTGATGCTCGCCGTTTGCCGGACTAGTTGGGGGGAGCGCCAGCGCCAGCGCCAAGTGTTAGTTGATCGCCAGCCGTGCAGTTGTTCGGTCAGTAGCTCCATCAGATCGGCGAGCGAGCGACAACAGCAACAGCAGCAGCGGAAGCAGCAAAAACAAGAACAATAGCAACAATCGATCGGAACAATAACGAACGTTCTAAATAGCAACAACAACAATCGGTGCAAATAGAGCGACCGCCCCGCGCCGAGCAATGGTACATCGAGGGAAATCTGGCACATTCGCAGCGATGCTGAGCTTGGCCAGCCTCTGCCTCGGCCTCTGCCTCTGCCTCTGCCTGGGTCGCTGCGACGCCTACTTTAGCTTGGAGAGTGCGTAGCCCGTCGATTGTAATCGATTAATCGATCAATCGATCAATACACATACCCTTCTAAATACCTTCCCTTCCCTTCCCCCAGTGACTCTGCCTCGATCAGCTGTGTGCTCTATTAAATACCGATCGATCTTTTGCAGTTGGCGATCCCTGTCCCACCGTGGGCTACCGCAGTCGTTGCCAGTCGGCTGAGGCTGAGTGCGGCACGCTGGCATCGCACATCCAGGTGGGACACCTGACGCCCCAGACGATTGCGGGCTGTGGATTCACCAGTCGCGGCGAGAAGATCTGCTGCCCACTCGAGAATGCCTCAAACATGGACGTTCGCATCGATTCCAACGAATCCACAACGACAACGACAACGACAACAACAACCACAACGACAAGCACAACAACAACCACTCAGATACCCACAACGACGTCCACAACGACAGAAGCGCCTGGGGCCGATGGCTGGCTGAATATTTTCCAAACGGATCACGAGTTCCTGCAGCGCTCGATAGAGCCCACCCGGCGTCCGGCGCGTGACAGCTTCGTGTATCCGGACACCAGGGAGGGGGCGGAGTGCAGGGCCCCGCTGTACGAGGGCGAGTGCCGGGCCGTGTCCGCCTGCCCCAGCGTGGAGCCGCTGCTGGCGCAGGGACGACTGCGCGACGAGGACTTCATGACGTGCCGTGACGGAGCCAGGGAGGAGATCATCTGCTGCCCCCTCAATCTGCCGCTGCAGCCGCGCGGCCAGGTGAAGACCGCCACCCGCCTGGGTGTACCCCCACTGCCCACGCGAGCTCCGGTGCCCAAGGAGATCGATATCCAAGAGGTAGCCGCCATTGCCAGGGCCGACGCCCTGCTGCCCCACTACCGCCACCTGGGGGCCCTGGCCCACCACAATGCCGCCTTCGATGGGCATCTGCACCACTGCGCCGCCATTGTCCTGACACCGCAGTTCCTGCTGAGCGCCGCCGGATGCGAACGGCCCAGCCATGCCGTTTTCGGGGTGGCAGACATGCGGGACGTGGACGTCGACGAGGACTACCTGGTGGACATTGTGGTGAGTGAGCCATTGCCCCCTTCTCGCTATCTCCCTCTGACCCCCTGTCTCTCTCTCTGTCTCTCTGTCTCTTTCGTTGTGAAGCGCTTGGAACAGTTCCGGCGGGATCTGGCTCTGATGCGGCTGCAGGAGCCACTGCGTCTGGGGAGCGGGGCGTCTGCGAACGTCAGTGTGGCGCCCATCTGCAACCAGTTCGAGCTGACGCGTCTCCAGGTCAGCGGGCGCCTGGTGGCCGTCGGATGGGGCAAGGGCGAGGACACCGATTGCCCTCTGTACGAGATGCCCATGCGCCTGCGTCCCACCCGGGCATGCGGCGACCTGCCCAATTACGGCAGCGTTCAGGAGCTGCCCAGCTCGCACCTGTGCGTCGAGCCCCAGCAGCCGGAGACGGACCTGCAGCCCTTCTCCAATGCCAGCTCCTGCGCCGCCTGCCCCGGCACCGTGGGCAGCGTGCTGCACCTGGTGCGGCCCAACGCCAGCCGCTGTGTCCTGGGCATCGCCACGCCCACGGGCGTCGATTGCGATGTCCGCGTCATGTACTTCACGAACCTCCTCAGTCCCCAATTCACGCTCTTCGTGGAGCAGCAGCAGCAGCAGCCACAGCAGGGGTAGTAGTCGTAGTCGTAGTCGTAGTCATAGTCTCCAAGTCGTAGTTAGTTAACCTTAGTTAGTATAAACTGTTTAATCTGTTTAAGCCCGTGTGTTAGAAGAGAGAGGAGAGCGCAGCGCGTCCAGTGTGACCCCAGCAACGGTGGAGCACCAGTGCCAGTGTGAGGAGAGCCCCCAAGTGGGACGTGGGAATGAAAGAACTTAATGCACCAGTGATCAATATGCATAAATACCCGTACTCCGTACACTCCGGAAATACTCCCAGAAAGAGACCAAACTCCAATTAAATTGAACTATTTTTGAGAGTGTGCAAACACCGTTCCACAGTGCGCCCTCTCATTCAGATCAGTGTGCACACACCATCCCAATGGGAGCTCATCGGAAATACCTCGCCGTATGGTACAGTGCTTCCCCTGCGTAATCTCTGGGCACATGTTGTGTGCTGTGTGCTGTGAGTTGTGAATTGTGAGTTGTGATTCATGCATAAATAAAATATAGTGCCTGCCCGTGCTACCATAGAGTTGAGTCTCCTCCAGGCTGTGCATTTCCCCAGACCCAGACCCAAAACAAAACCCAAACCCATGCCCATGGCCATCGCTGGAGCTGAGTCACACTGGGGTTTCGTTTACTCTTTAATTACAGCTCTCGCTATGGCTCTAGCTCTGGCTCTGGCTGTGGCTCTGGCTCTGGCTGTGCCTTTGGCTCTAGTGCTTGTTCCGCTTCTGTATTCTGTTCGGCTAAGCTCGATTCTGCGAAGAGCTGAAACCAAAAACCGGTCCACCGCTCAGCGGGAGAGGAGCTTCAGCAGCACGAGCTTGCTCTATGGCTCTGCGGCTCGGCGGCTCTGCGGCTTGTGCTGATATCAGCTGCCCGCCCGGTCAGTCCGGTCCAGTCCCCAGCCCGGATTCGGTTCTTGATCTGGTCTGGTCTGGGCTTTAGCTTCAGTTGCTCAGGCGATGCGCTACCGATCGGTCGCCCCCGTCAGCTTTCTAGCCTTCCATCCGCCTCGTTTCGTTTCGTTTCGTTCCGTTTCGCTCCGTGTCCAGCGAGAGCCTCGTCTCGTCTCGTTTCGTACCGTCACCGGTTTTCAACTTTGTTGATCGTCTCTTATTTTATTTTATTTTATTTTGTATTCATTTCATTTTTTTAAGTTTTTTTTTTTTTTGCTGTGCTGTGCTGTGCTGTTCTGTGTGCTGCGCTTTGTTTGTGTGTTTTTCTTTTCAATTGAGTTTTGTGCCTGATTGCCTTATTCAGTCACAAATAGCAGCAGCCTGTGCCAGTAATTATTTTGTTATCAAATACCGAAAAAAGGTCGTGTCAAAGATGCGTCTGATAAGGCGGAGTGGACTCTAGCCAAAGGGGGATGCACCGGAGAGCGGGGAGAGCGGGCAGAGAGCGAATTGCATGTTCTAAAACGATTCCCGTGCTGTTCGTTCTTCGTGTCAACAAAAGAGTAGCCAGTGGCAGCAGTGGCTTGGATCACTGTGATGATCCCACCAGCTTGCCCATAGATCAAAATAGAGTGGGACTCACAAGAGATTACAGAGATCTGGCCAGATCGAGCCCGTGTCAGATTCAGGAAATACTCGGCAGCAGCCCTCAGTAGCTCTCAGATCTAAGCCCTGTTTCTGTTAACCATTCCCTAGCCCATCCTATCAGTTTTGATATAACAATTACATGAGCCAGAGAGACAGCAGCACGGCTGTGTGCAACGTCTTATCAGTGACAGCAGTGACAGCAGGTTGGTTGCCCCTTTTGGGTGTTCGTCTAAATGAAATTAGTGTTTGGTATCAGACACATGAAGCAAATACTACCCAGTGTGGCATGTCTTGTCGCTGTCGGTGGTGAAATGTCAGATTAACAGTGTCGCAAACGTAATGCGGAGCAGTGAATCAGCGAATCGGCGAATCGGAGATTCAGCGATTCAGCGATTCAGCGAATCAGGGAATCAGGGAGTGGAATCGTCTGCCGTAGGATTGTGAAATTCCCAAAACTATCACCGAAATGGCTTTCCCCCCATTTTTCACCCCTAGTTCTGTTGTTGTACTTAGTAGTAGAACTGCCATGTGGGTCAATGCCAGGTTCATTCACTATGCTCACAATCAGCTGTGGGACGAGCTCTCAATGATGTGCCCCGAACAAAAGAACAAACGAACAAAAGAACACAGAACACATTTCTCCGGTGCGGACTCTCCTCTCCTCTCCTCGCCACTCCACTCCACTCCACTCCTCTTGTGCCCCAAACAGATTTTCATTCCCAATTTCTGTATACTTTTGAATGCTTGCAGGAACTAAAGAGAACTAAAAGAGAACTAAAAGACTCCGGGCTCGTACAGCTGCGGAGAGATGTTCAGACAACAGGTCGCCCTGCTGCTGGGGGGCCTCCTCCTGCTCGGCAGCTGTGGCCTGAACGCAGCAGGCGAGGGTATGTGCCCGCCACACTCTGTGCCCATGCTGTGGCCAACACTGCACTGTAGCTCTTGCTCGTTTCAGAAGGCGATGAATGCATGGTGAAGGAGAACTTTCCGGGCATCTGTCGCGCCTCGTCAGCCTGCGAGCCCTTCGTCGACGGGTACATTAAGTCGGGCATACTCTCCATCAACGATGTCCCCAGCTGCGGTCTCGGCCCCCGGGAGGAGATCATCTGCTGTCCCACGAAGCCCTGCTGCCCCAATGAGTAAGCCAAGCCAAGCCTCCTGAGTGTTTTGTGTGTCCAAGTGTCGTCCCCTTTTGTGGCCCGTCTGCGCTGTGTGCCAAGTGATGTTGCATGCCCCGCTTCCAGCTCTGTTTCCATCTACGCCAGACCACCGACATCTCCGACTAACTCCACTAACCCCATCCCACAGCCCAAGCTCGCAAGGAATCGCAATAGCTCCCGTTACTGCTGCTGCTGCTGCTCCTCCACCTCCACCTCCACCTTCACCTGATCTTGCACCATCACCCGCAACAGAGCAGAGCCGGGAGAGTAGGCTGGATCAAGGTGACAGCTTCTTCGACTTCAATCAGATGCTGAGCACGCCGCGGAGCGTGCCACAGCCCGCAGGACGGGGTGGTGGCAGGACCCACGAGGCCATTCGAATGCGGCCAGAGCCACTCCAGAGTGTAGGCCAATGGGGCGTCGCTCTTCCCGCGGCAACGACCACGCCACGATCCGTGGGCCCTTGGGGATGGACTGATGGAACAGCCAGAATAGTCAACAGGCCCCAGACGATCCCCGATCAAAGGTTTAGAGGACCCGGCAACAATCTGATACACGTGGTCAACGACAGGCTCCGTCAGCATGGGATGCAGATAGAGACCGCCAGGGAGGTGGAGTCGCTGTCGCTCCCGACTCCGATGCCAACGCCAACGAAAAAGGCGCTGGTAGATCCATTTGCGCCGTTCCGCTTCCAGGCGAAGGAACAACATGGCAACGTCTTTTCGGCGGACGCATCGACGCTGCCGTTCCGGTTTGTCTCAGTTCGAGTTAATGGCATGGACATCAGTTGGCCACAGCCAGGGGCCATGGACTCCTGGCAGATCTCTTCTCAGCCATTGCAATCAACCATTTCCCATTTCCCTTTTTTCGTTCGCAGCACTCCGGGGACAACGTCCAAGGCCCGACCACCCGTCTCGGCCACGCCCATCACGCGTGTGGATGTGCCCACAGAGAGCCAGGAGCGGCAGGATCGGCCGTCGCTGGTGGCCTGCAGGAGGATACGCAGCCGCTACGGGGAGAACCGGCTGACGGTGCACATCCTGGATGGTATACCCGTCGATCCCGGCGTCTATCCGCACATGGTGGCCATTGCGTACAGCAGCTTCGGCGCACCAGCCGAGTACCGTTGCGGCGGCTCCCTGATCTCCAGTAGGTTCGTCCTCACCGCTGCCCACTGCGTGAACAGCGAGAGCAACACGCCCATATTCGTGCGCCTTGGCACCGTGAACATCGTGAATCCCGCACAGCAATATGAGGACATTGGCTTGGTATGAGTCCCCTGCCCCTGCTCCTGCCTCCGTGCGTCGAATCCTCACACTCACATGTGTGCATATGCTTGTGCTTGCAGAGAAACATTACCATCCATCCGAACTACGTGAGCAGCAGCAAGTACAACGACATTGCCCTGCTGGAGCTGGATAAGGAGGTGAACTTCGCCAACAACAGCAACATCTTTCCGGCGTGCCTGCACACAGATACCAGGGATCCGCCACTCAGCTCCAAGCTCTTTGTGGCCGGCTGGGGAACCATGAACTTGACCAGTGAGTAGTGTCCAGAGAGTGAATCAATATACTCATGTAATCGCCTCATCTGCACAGATCGCTCCAGGTCGAAGGTGCTGCTGCGTGCCCCACTGGACCTGGTGCCGCTGGACAAGTGCAACGAGTCGTTTGCCGAGCAGCCGAGCACCATCCGTGCCCTGAAGCAGGGCGTCATCGACTCGCTGATGTGCGCGGCGGACACCAAGCAGCAGAAGAAGGATGCCTGCCAGGGAGACTCCGGCGGCCCGCTCATCTTGGACATTAACGTGGAGGATGGTCTGTACTCCATTGTGGGCATCATCTCGTCGGGGTTCGGGTGTGCCACCAAGACGCCGGGCCTCTACACTCGAGTGGCCTCCTTCCTCGACTACATCGAGGGCATTGTCTGGCCGGACAATGTTCTGGGAACGGGCGGGATATGAGCCAATAAATTTTGGACAAGACCACCGAAGTTTGTTCGATTAGTTTTCATTTGCATCCCTGGATGCCAACTGTCAAACTCTCGCCGTCTCTGCCTCTTCCACTCATACGTAAACAGAGAGAGAGAGAGAGAGAGAGAGCGAGAGAGAGAGAGCGAGAGTCAGAGAGAGCCTGAGCGAGAGAGAGCGAACGGACTAGCAGCTGCTGGCTGCTGCTGGCTGGCATTGATTGTTGCCAGCTGAAATATTGACAGTCGAAAGCTGCTTGAGCTTTATTTACTGAGCTTTTAGCTTTTGGTTTGGTTTTCACAGCTGGTGGGGAACAACCGTTACAAAAATTCTGCCGGCATTACTGTCGTTCGCCCCCTCTGCTCCGCTCCATCACACAGAACCAGAACGAGCAGCGGGACAGAGACAGGGAGACAGGGACAGGGCTCTATCCAGCTGGTGGCGGCCTGTGGCTGTGCCTTAAATGCCGCTGCTTGGGCGCTGGGCGCCTCAGTTGGTCGCGAGACCTGCGTAGCGTCGGTTGGTTCGCAGCCTGCCCCCAACCATCATCATCATCATCCTCCTCCAGCAACGGAGCAGTGAGACCGAACCCGAGACCCGCCAGTAGGCCGTTGGGCGCTCACTTCAATTTCAATTTCAGTCTTCAGTCTTCACCCGATTTACTCCCGGTTCACACCGGTTCGGTTACGGTTCGTTTACGAGTACTAGTGGCATTCAATTCAATTCGATTCGATTCCATTCCATTCAATTCGATTGAGTTGATTTCGGACATTTCATCTGCTTGAGTGCGTGCGTTATTTGTTTTTGTTTATTTTTTTTTGAAGTGTCCAATGCCACTCGAAGAGAACCCTTAACAGCAAAGGCAGCGGCAACAAACGGTCCTCCCACTGGCAACCAGTTGGTAAATGTAAGTCGATCTGTGTGTCCCCCTGTGTCCCCCTGTGTCCCCCTGTGTCCCCCTGTGTTGTTCGATGATTAAACATTTGTTTATCGCGCACTCCCGCCGCCAGTTATTATTTCAATTGTGGGAAATTGATTCCGGCGGCACATCTGCCGGGCCCCCACGCCCCCACGCCCCCACGCCCCCACGCCGCTCGTTCATTGCTGATAAGCAGCTCGACTGAGTCCTGGCATACGGGTCGATCCGATCGCCTATCTAATTGTGCGGACTTAAGGCATCTCGGGGCCGATAAGCACCGATGGGTGGACGGGAGCCACACAACAGGTGCACTACGTGCACCACCCACCCTCTAATGATTCATGTGGCAGGGACAGGGACAGGAGCAGGGGCAGGGTATTCCAAGGAGCTGCCTGCCTCGCCAAGGAATTAGCGGGTGCAAAAGCCTGATAAATGTGTCGCATCACGAAGTTGCCTTAGCCCTCAGTCCCTCCGCCAGATTGGCTCAAATACACCCCCCGTACAGCCGCGTAACATGACAACTGATTCGGGACGAGGCGGCTTTTCAAATGGATTGGGCGGATATTTGTCTTTTTCGCACATTTTTGATCTCTCCTCGGGAGGAAGCGGGTTCTGACTCCTCCGAAGTCCTGTCCGGGCGAGTGTAATTGTAGTTTTGCGTTCAGTGGAAATTTCTGCCATGATTACGCCCACCTTTGGTTTGGTAAGAAATACTTTTCAATTTATCGTTCTGCCATCTATTAAACATCGAAGGGAATTTTAGAGCAGCTCTCGTGTCCAGTGTCCAGTGTCTAGTGCTCATTCCCACGATGGCCTCCACCCACATCCGTCATCCGTTATCCACCTTCATTCTGGGTGGGGGGGCGTCCAAGGGTGGTGTGTGTGGTGTGTGGTTTGGCTGTTGTGTTGGCGGTTAGCGGAGTGGCTATAAATGTGACACTAAGTTAATAAATTTATGGCTAAAACACACCCAACTGCTGATGCCTGATGCCTGATGGCTGATGGCTGATGGCTGCGGTGTTGCTAATTTCCCGTTGGCTGCTCCATGACCCATCTCCCAGCTGCCCTGGCCAATGGTCCCTGTCCGCATTCCCCCGCATTCCCCCATTTCCCGTGCCCGTTTACATTTCCATCATCCTGAATGATGGCGCGACTTTCGAAGCGGACACCAGCGATAAGGAGAGGCGAAATGGGGGCAATGTGGGAGTTAGAGTTGGAGTGGGAGTGCGAGTGGGTGCCCGAGTAATAATAATATTTTTATTGTCCGCTTATTTGCCTTTTGTGGTCCGCTCTTAATACACATTCAAAATGTTGTTGTCCGCTCGCTTTAATTAATAAAAACAAAAAACGAGAGAAGGGCAGGCGGATCGCCGCCAGATACAAAAAAAAAAGTAGGAATCCCATATAAAATATCCATCCAATAACCGTATTGGATCCAGCCGGGATATAGTGCAGAGCAGAGCAGAGATTTCTAATCAGCATCAGCTGCTGCATTCGGTGATTGTGGCAGAAGTCTGTAGTCAGCCTTTATGGCTGAGACCCGACACTGGGGCATGCCACGGCGACGACGGGCACAACAATTTCCATATTTATTTTGGTTTTTTTTTTAATTTTTCAAAAATTTCGTTCGCTTCTGCTTTTGTGCCCATTTTGTGCCGCTCATTACTTTTGGGCACTTGGGCACATTGCCACATTGAATATTCATGCGCCGAATGTAATCACAATTTGGGCTGCTCCTATGAGCTGCAGGGAAGAGAGGGCAGAGTAGGCCAGTAGATGCCACACCAACCTATCGCATTCCTGCTCCCCTCACAAGCCGATTAAACTGTACAGTTTTATTTTGCCCTTGCGCTTTATAGCCACATTCCAAAGTTAATCTGTTTCTTGATTCCCTGACTGCTTGGATGCTACCTGAAGATTTCCTTTCCACTCTTTCAAGTGCGAAAATCAATGCTGGGCAACAAACTAAGAGCCGGAATAAGGCTCCTCTTCTCTCTTCTGTCTGCCCTCTCCTGGCGCCACTCTCTCTCTCCCCTCCTGGCCCCACTCTCCCTCTCCCTCTCTCTCTCTCTCACCCCCCTAAGTGCGGGCCAACTCAAAAGCTGACTTAAGCGATGATTTCTGGCTGCTCGCTGGAGCTGGAGCTGGAGCTGATGCTGATGTTTGATGTTGTTCCAAGGAATGCAGCAATAAAAAAATGCCCGAATAGCGACAGCTCTGCAGCTCCTCCAAGGGCAGCAAGGCAAACAAACAAAAAAAGATAAAGAAAAACTAAGCAGCTAATGGCGTTGGTTACTTAGCCAACTGATACGCAGGCTGCTTCTTCCCTCTCCTGCTCCTGCTGCTGCTCCTGCTGCTGCTCCTTCCGCCTGCTTCCCTGAGTCCTGGCAATGCACATAAATTTACACACAAAAGTTCATTTTTGTGTTGCGCGTAAATCTCCTCACAAATCTCTCATTTCGCTCTGTTTGGCCAGCAAGTGTGGGGGGGGGGGGGGATGCGAATGGAAGTCTTGAATACCCTGTAAATGGCAGGGCAGGGATATGCTCTCCCGAGAAGTGCTTCCGATCAGCAGAATGAAGATGCAGATATCAAAAAGTGACTCAATTAGCCATGGATCTCAGTCAGCGCTGTCCGCATGCCATGCATATCCTTTGCAGGCTCCGAATCAACTCTGTGCTTCTGTTCTGCCGCTCCTTGACAAGGGTATAAGTATATGCTGCATATGGGAAGAAGGGGCCTCCACCTCCTCACACGCAACGAGACAAGAACCAGGCACGGGGCACAACAAATGGCATACATAATACGGGGGGGTGTGCTGTGTGCTGTGTCCTGGCACGGGGCGTGCATATGGAGCTGGAGCTGGAGATGGAGCTGGAGTGGAGCTGGAGATGGAGTGCCCCCACTTAACTCTGATAAAGAATCAGCTGAACTCGGCAATGTGACGTTAGACATAATTTTTGCTTTTGCTTTTGCTTTATTTTCAGTATGTCTTGGTCTTGCTTTTCGGTGCCCTTGTTTCCCTCCGTTTCAGTTGCTCTTTCTGCTTACACTCGCATTTGTGTTGCTGTTTCTGTTTCTGTTTTTGTTTCTGTTTTGGGGGCTGGAAAGGTCGCTGCCATTGTCAGCCGAGCAGTGAAGGAAATTTCGGAAATTTACGGTTTGGCATTAAAGGAAATTTAATCGATTTAACCCACCCCCCTTCCCCGCAACCCTGTCTTGGCACGTACATATGTGATTTCCCGTTTACCCAATTTCCATATGGCTGCCGCTCCCGCTCCCGCTCCCGCTACTGCCTCCTGCTGCTCGTGCCCTTTGCTCCTTCTCCTTCTCCGTCTTGTTGTTGTTGTTGTCTGCCTGTTGTTCCTGTTGTTACCAATTCCCTGCTCGGGACTCGGGACTCGGGATGGGACCTACAGTGGCGCGTGCCTTGGGCTGCATTCGGCAAGCAGCTCCGCCCCCCCCCCCGTACCACACGCATCGTAAAGAGCCCCCCCTGCCCCACCCTTTGCCACCCTGTCGCACGCACCCACGTACTGCCGCCCTGCCGTATGGATTTCCTTAATGAAACGAGAAGCAAGGAAAAACACAGCCAAAAGTTGAACGTGGCCAAGGGGGGGGGGGGGGGGGGCCTCCAAAGCGATGTGCGGAGTGCGTGTAAAATGCGTAAATTATTTTCCAGCTTTGTTGTCGTACTTGATATTTGAATGTCTGCCGCCAAGCCGCCATGTCTCCATTCCTCCATGCTGCCTGTTGCTGTGTGTAGCTGGCACTGCCACTGCCACTGCTGGTGCCGATTCCACCAGTGTGGCATGTAATTAAAAATGTTGTCACGCTCTGCTGCCACCAGCAGAGGCCCACTGTGGCAGGGGCCAGAGATGCGGGCCACTTAGCATTGCCTTCGAGCTGGGGGGTTCCTGCGCGCTGCAAGTACATTCATGTGTATGTTGCAAGAGCCTTGCCTCGCGACAAGTTCGCACTCAATTTATTGCGATTGCTTTCCACTTTAAATGATTGCTGCGCTGCCCTAAATCATTGGAAATAGCAATTGGGAATGGCAAAGTCCATGCCGGGCCAAAGCCGATGGCTGCTTATCGCAATCCGTGAGAATGTGCATGGCAGCAGACAGTTGGCTTGGCGGTGTACCTACGGTAAAAGCTGCCTGCTCACGTTGCGTCCCAATGAGTCCCATTTAATGTCTGAAATTATGAAATTGGCTATAAAACGAAGGTGCAAATGGGGCACGTGGGACACCAACATTGCAGCTGATGGCCCTAATGCTGCATAATCAACCTGCCCCTCAATCATCAGTCTGCTTTGAATTGCTTTGTTCTGCTCTGCCCAGCCATTCCGGGTACCCCATGCTGCGAGTTGTCTGCTGGACATTCAGTTTGCTCCGAAGATCTCCCCGGGATTTTTGCCCGCTTTAATGGCTCCACCTTTAATGGCTCTCTCGCCTCTCGTTGGATTTCGCATTCAAATTTAAAGCGTGCACTTTGGTGGGGCATGTGAGGCCCCACATTTAGATGCTCATCGTTTCCATCTGTCGGTGGCCGATCCCCTTCTGTGCTACGTCCTGGCCAAGTGTTGAGTGCTTGCTGGTCATCTTTGACGCTGGCGGCGGCGGCAATGGCAATGGCAATGGCGATGGCAATGGAAACTTAAAACGTCAGCTAATAACCCCGAAATTAGCGATGCAATTCAATTAGCTGCCGGCAGAGTGTGTCGCCTCGGGAGCTTTAAAAGGTTCCACCACCCCCACCCCCACTCCCACTCCCACCCCCAGGGTGTCCCTTGGGTGTGTGTCGCAGCTTGGCAGCTGCCTTTCATCTGGTGGCTGCTGTCATCTGGCTGTCAATTAGCCAGGAACCTTGCCTCGATTTCAAGCCTTTTAAAATTGCCCGCCCGCAAATCGACAGAAGAGGCTTCTCCTCTGCTACCCCCACTCCCGCTCCCACTCCCGCTCCCGCTCCCGCTCCCTTCTTTAA